AATATTTAAATTATATTCATTAATAATTTTAAGGGTAATATTTTATTATAATATAAAATAACAAATATTTTTGAATTCAATTAAGAATTCTATAAACAAAAATTAATAAAAAATATCAACTTAGAGACATAAATCATGAGTGCTGTTTAGGTCCCATTTTATATGGCCACAAGCCAAGAAAGAGGGTGAATTGAGTTTTTTAGAAACTTTGACTTTTTAAAACTTGACTTTTAAAACTCAAGTCAGAATTTTAAAGCGGAATTAGAAAGACTTCGTGAAAGACAGTTATCACGATTATAACTTTTTCATAAAGCTTATGAAAGATTAGAAAACTGATTATAATTCTTATTCTGATTTTTTTCTTAATGTATAAACATAAATTAGAATTTAGAAAATCACAGTATAGAAATTCAGAATTAGAATTAGAAACCACAAAGATAAAACTTTTACACTTTTAAAATTAGAAAATCATTAATAACTTTGCATTTTTGAAAATATAAACAGATGTGTAATTATAATATAATTAAACAAGACTTCCGAAATTAAAAGAAGAATAACAGAGGATTTTATAGTAGTTCGGTACTAAATCGTCTACATTCACTCTCCAAGAATCATCTTGAGATCATCCTATATTATCTTTTTTAAAGGGTAAGAGACAAACCAACGTTTAAATAAATAGATTATAAACATAGATATAATCTTTAACCCACTAGATTTTCAAATGTTTTAGTTGACCTCCACCCTTTTGTTTTACAGAGAACAAAAAAACTCAGAATCAAGACATTAGAATCTCAGTAAGGAGAAGGTTGCTTGATAACTTTTACAACATAGTTTTTCAACCTAAGCTATACACAAATGTTGCTATACACAAATGTTTTTCTTTAAAAATCTCTAGCCTACAATAGATTATACGAATCTATATAGACAAAGAGAAATACAACTATAAGCACAATAAGAATAGGAAATAGATTTGAAAATAGAAAGTAAAATCAGAACCGTTCTTCAAAAGAGTTGTTACAGAACTCTTAAGAATATTTCTAGAAGAATGGAGAAGAAAAGAAGTAAAGAGGGTTGAAGATGAAGAGAGAGATTTGAATGATTTGAACCTTTGAAAAATGATCTCTTATTTTTGCACAAAAATTTTTAGAGAGAGAGAGAGAGAGAGAGAGAGAGACGTTTTTATACAAAAAGGGAATGATATTCCTATTATCAAATAACGTTAGGCTTTACTTTAAAGAGCAATGAGTATTTCTAACATTGTAAGTTAAAGAGGCAGTGCATGAGATATATTTAAAAGTTGTCAGACCACCTTTTCACATATACATACACAAAACTTGGAGATGGAGAGATTGTTTTAGAAAATTGTGTTGCTTTTCATCAGAAAATGTCAATTCTGTCGTAAACAATGACTACTTTTGCAAAAAATACATTTAATGGTCTCCAAAGTGTTTTTTCAAAAACCTTTTTCATTTGGATTAATGTGAAGAGCAATGATTAAAACTTTTTCTCTAAGATATTTAATTAAAATATTTCAAAAATGATTTTGAAGGAGATAAAAAATAATTTTGTGCTTATAATAATATGATCTCTCTATTCTACAATATTCCTAGACTCATAATTTTGTGCCAATAAAAATCTTCATTTATCTTCTGATCTTCAATAAAAATCTTTGAGTTGTAGGAGTTTGAATTCTTCAATAATTTCATCATTAAAATTCTGCATAAAATCACTTTAGCATACAGAAATAATATTAAATTTATTTGGTTTGTTTAGTGATCACAATTTTGAGCCAACGTGTACTATTAGTATACTAAAAAAACTGATAAATTTATAAGTTTAAAAACATTCCTCATTAGGTATTTGAACGACAATTTTTCAATTAATGGCATTTGGCTAAATTATTTTCCAGAGATTAAATAAATAATTTTATTCATATAATAATAACAAATATTAATATCTATCCAATTCATCTATCTATCAATTCATCTCTTTTATTCATTTTTTTTTATACTTTTTATTGAGGTTATAATTCGTAAATTTCTTAAAAAGTATAATTTTTTTTAATTTCTCTTTTATCCCGAAACAAAATAAAAAATAATGAAAAGAATTAGAAAAAAGCGCAATAATCTAGATAAATGAATAAAGTGCATAAATAGGGTAAATTAAATAATTTATTTTGATTTTCAATCAGAAATTTCGGCGAAATGCATTGAATTGAGAAGGAAATATTAATTTAAACACTTGATTGATAAAAAAAAAAGAGTTGATAGAAAAATGTATAAAATTCAAATGCTAAATTTAAATTATCCAATTTAAATTATCCAAATATAAATAGGTTTTCAACATCTACGTTAATTAAATAGTTTTTCAACATATTTTATCTTTATCATATAAGTTAATTCAGTAGATTTTTCACATTAAGAGGATGTATTAGATTAAGAGTCTGTTAGATTTTAAGATTTTAAAATTTTAATGGTATTCAATCTAGATTTTTTTTTTTTTGGAGTCTATTAAAATTTATGATATTCAATTCAGACTCTTATATAATTTATAAAAGTCTAATAGCATTCAATAACTTTTTTAAAATCTATATAAATTTGATGGTATTAAAAAAATTGCTGCTTTTGAAGCATCTTATAAAATTATTGATTTCATTAGATTTTAGAGTGGTAAATATGAATAAAAGAGTTATTTCCAAATCCACTGTCCAACCCAAAAATTTCAAAAATCTTTTAAAATCTAACAGAATCTTAATCTAATACACCCCTCAAATAAAGATGGAAGCAGAGTGGATACCTACGAATTTTAAACTATCTGTATAGCCGTTTAAAATTTATATATATTTATATATATATATATATAATATATTATATATATATATATATTTATATATATATATATTTATTTATTTATTTAAACATGCGATTTTTCGACGAGAAGTCACTATTCGAAGGACAAGAAGCATGTGGTCTTCTGATCACATCACGACTGTTCTAGGAGCACAGGATAGCCGGCGGCGGCGCTGGCCATTGCAGACCTTTCATTATCGGCGGTGGTAAGATTTTAATAAAGAAAAAAAGCGATTTTGTAGAATATAACGTATTTTACTTTTTAATCCCTCATTATTTTTTAATTTGTTCAATTAGGTCCTGAAATAAATTTTGATTGGATATATAAAAATCATTGTAATTCCATCAAAGTTAATCAAAATCCATAAAAAAAACTCATTCATTAATTCCATAATTCAATGTAGAATTTTATGGAATCTGTGAAAATCCTAGAAAATCTTTCAATTCCGTCAAGAATTTCTTTTAAAACCTCAATACAATCCCTAATCCAATACACTCCTCTAAAGTTGCGAATCTCAAGCCTCGAGTCCTCTCTGCTACCAACGGTTTTTTCACAAATTTTAGTAAATTAGAAAGCCCAGCAAAATTTTAAACTTAATTTAATAAATTAAGGGGAGAGCTATCTTAGTTAATATATAATATATATATATATATATATAACCATTGAATGATATTTTTTAATTAAGGTTGAGGGTTTTTCCTGCACCCTTAGCCTGGGTCCCAGAACTAAGTCAGAGTGTGGAGGGAAGAAAGAGAATGAAGCCTTCAACCAGGCTTTAATAGTAGCAATTTTATATATATATATATATATATTATATAATATATTATACATACAATCACTAAAAAACTATTAAATAATAAATAAATATTTTTTTAAAAGGCATAAATTAATAATTTTTTAAATACGAGACATTTCCTTAAAAGCGCCATTGATAACAAAATTTAATAACCAACTCCTGTATCTATTTGTTAGTCCAATAGGTTATGCCATGGTTTTGGCCAACAACCAAAGAAAATTAAGGCAATGATTGGCCAACTGTAAAGCCCAGCCTAGTGTGATTATTGTCCGCTTTGGGTCCAAACCTGGCCTGAACCCTCACGGTTTTATTTCCGGGCCAGGGAAACCTCCGCTGCTGCCAGCCCAAAAACGCGTCACAAGGTTGCCACCCTTTATGTATAGGACTTCCACCTTGTGCGTAGCTGATGTGGGATTCGCCTAAGGTGTTGTGCCCCAAACCTGGGATGTCACACCAACAACCAAAGAAAATTAAGGCGATGGTTGGCCAACCACCAAATTCTGCATCTATAAATAGAGCACTTCCATAAGTGTTTTATATCAACTCATTGTCAGAGAGAAATCCATTAGCTAGAGTTCACAGAGAAAAGCTTTGGTGAGAGAAAATTGAGAGTAATTTTCTTGGGTGAATTTATGAGTTGTGGGTTATAAGTGTTGTAAACATTTTGTATAATTTTTCTCCTTAATTTTTTCTCTGTTAGTAAAAAGATCTGCAAGCAGCTCCGGAGACGTAGGCAGAATTGGCCGACACTCCGTTATAAATTTGGTGTGTGTTATTATTTCGGCTTTTATTTGGCATTCTCCACTAATCTAGTTTTTCGGAAATTTTGCGTAATTTTCCCCCAAACAACTGGTATCAGAGCGCGAAGGGTTTTTCGGCAGGTCCCAGCCAGTCAGATGCGGTACCAGATTCGTGGAATTATTTCAAAAATAAATATAACCACGACGAAGAGTCTATCGGTGTTGTCCCGTCGGAAGTCGTTTGCAGAATGCGACTTAGTGGTGAATAGTCAAACAGCATCTTAAAGTTTGGTGGTGAACAGTACTGTTGGGCGTTACTGGTTGCTAAACCCGTGACTAATTTCCCAGCACTATTCACGTATAGTACTATTCACTTGTACGATTACTATTCACGTATAGTACTATTTACGTGTACTATTACTATTTACGTATAGTACTATTCACGTGTACGATTACTATTCACGTATACTAACAATCAAGGCGGAGTTAGACTCGAGTGGGAGCGATGGCTGCAGATGAAGGAAAGTGAAAAATTGAAAAATTCGATGGTGCAGATTTTGGCTTTTGGAAAATGCAAATAGAGGATTATCTGTATCAGAAAGGTCTTTTCCAACCTCTCTCCGGAATAAAGCCAGAGGCAATGAAGGAAGAAGAAGGAAGAAGATTGGAATCTTCTAGACACGACAAGCACTCGGGGTTATTCGTACCTCTTCCCACAATGGTGCCCTTAACATTAGCAAAAAGAAAAGACCACGGCGGGTCCTTATGGCGGCTCTTTCCAATATTACGAAAAGCGCCATCGGCCGCAAATAAAGTTCCCTTGATGAGGCAGTTATTCATCTACGATGACGGAAAACGCATCGGTGCCCAACATCTCAAATTGAACTCAATACAGTGAACAACCCAATTGAGTTCAGTTGAAATTGAATTTGAGAATTTGATGAAGAGGTACGAGCATTGATACTTTTGTCTTCCCTACCAGAAAGTTGGAATGCTACTGTCACAGCTGTGAGTAGCTCGTCCGGAAGCAAGAAGTTAAAATTTGATGATGTTCGTGACTTAGTTCTCAGTGAAGAGATCCGACGGAGAGAGTCAAGTGAACCTTCAACTTCTTCAGTCTTGCATACAGAATCGAGATGAAGAAATTCAACCAGAGGGAATGGACGCGGTAGATCGAACTACCGAGGCAAGTCAAAGGACAGGAGGTCCAAATCCAGGAATCCTAGCAATTTCAATAGAACAAAGACCATCGAATGTTGGAATTGTGGATGTGGCAAAACTGGGCACTATAAAAATAGTGCAAGAATGCATCTAAGAACCAGGAGGGGGAAGTTTCAGAAGCAATGTTGCCTCCACTCAGGAGAAGATGATGCACTTATATGCTCTTTGGAGCAAGCAGGAGTCTTGGGTTTTAGACTCCGGGGCGTCATTCCATGCAACTTCACAAAAAAAACTCCTTAAAAGGTATACCCCCGGAAACTTTGGAAAAATATACCTTGGTAATGACCAACCATGTAATATTGTTGGTAAAGGAGTTGTGAAGATTAGGTTGAACGGGTCTACATGGGAGTTGAAGGATGTCAGACATATTCCTGACCTAAGAAATAACTTAATCTCAGTTTAATCTCAGTAGGCCAGTTGGCCAGCGAAGGCTACACAACAACCTTCCACGGTGATAAGTGGAAGATTACAAAGGGTGCAATGATGGCTGCTCGTGGAAGTAAGAGTGGTACTCTTTACAGCACAGGAGGAGCAAGCCTATTCCATTGCTGTTGCAGCAAACAGTGAAACTCCCAATTTATGGCATCAGAGGCTTGGCCATATGAGTATGAAAGGAATGAAGATTCTACACTCATAGGGAAAACTACCAGGTCTTCAGTCAATTGAAATTGACATGTGTGAAGACTGCATATTTGGAAAGCAGAAAAGAGTCAGCTTTCAAACAAATAGAAGAACCCCAAAGAAGGAGAAACTTGAGCTTGTACACTTTGATGTGTGGGGACCAACTACTGTCTCATCCATTAGTGGGAAACACTACTTTGTGACTTTTATTGATGATCACTCTCGGAAAGTTTGGGTTTACTTTCTAAAATATACTTTCTAAAATATAAGTCAGAAGTATTTGATGCTTTCAAAATTTGGAAAGCTTATGGTTGAAAATGAGACAGGACTGAAAATCAAAAGCCCTTAGAACCGACAATGGTGGTGAATATGAAGACACCAGATTCAAGAAGTTCTGCCTATGAGCAATGGAATCAAGATGGAGAGAACCCGTGCCAGGCACGCCTCAACACAATGGTGTAGCTGAAGCGCATGAATCGAACGTTGACAGAAAAAGACTAGAAGCTTACGTGTACAATCAAGGCTTACCAAAGTAGTTCTGGGCAGAAGCAGTCCACACAGCAGCTTAACTGATCACCGAGGTCCATGGTACCATTGGAGCAGCACAAAAATACCAGAAGAGGTAATGGAGTGGGAAAAGAAGTAAATCTCACACTTAAGAGTTTTTCGGTTGGTAGCCATATGTGCATATAAGTGATCATGGCAGGAATAAGCTTTGCTCCAATTAAGAAATGCATTTTCATTCGCTATGGCGGAGATGAGTTTGGATACCGCCTTCTGGGAATGAAAGAAAATAAGAAAGTGAATCCGCAGCAGAGATGTGGTCTTCAATGAACAGAATAATGTAGCAAGAACAGACATGAAACAGTTGCCAGCGACTTCAGAGGCAGAGTGGGCCAGTGTTTGTAGAAGTGGATGATATCCTAGAAAGTCTGTCGAATGAGTTAGTTGAAGATCCTCAATCAGAGGAATCAACCGACACACCACAAACTTCTCCTCCAAAAGCTTTAAGAAGGTCTGAACGTCCTCCAAAGCCTAACAGAAAATATGTGAATTATTTGTTATTAACAGATGGAGGAGAACCTAAATGCTTTGAGGAAGCATGTCAAACGGAAGATGCCTTGCCATGAAAGACGAAATGAAGTCTTTAATCTCCAATCAAACATGGGAACTAGCTGAGTTACCCGTAGGAAAGAAGGCACTTCACAATAAATGGGTTTATCGAGTGAAAGAGGAACATGATGGTTCTAAGAGATACAAAGCTCGACTGGTAGTCAAAGGGTTCCAGCAGAAGGAAGGAGTTGACTACACTGACATATTTGCACCAGTTGTAAAACTCAATACTATCAGTGTAACACCCCTTTCCGGTCCATCCGTAAACCCGAATGAACCGGACCGAGACGTTACAAACTGGTTGACTGTATGGCCTGACATGCTGAAATCATAATGTATATTGAATATAATTTTAAATCATCAAAAGTATGAGTTTTCAATATTTTATTTAATTTCATCAAATTTTTAGTCTTTGTTATTTCTTTTATTAATCCTTTCTCAATATCTTCTTTACTGAGTACATTTAATTCTCTATTTATTTCATTTAAAGAAATAGTCATGTCTGGGTATACTTCAAAAGATATAGGTCCTTCACTTAAACTGGTTTAACAGATCCTAACAAAGAATCTTGAAAGTTTAAAAATCGAGCATCTCTAACCACCACTAAAATACTTGTGTTTAGTCCTTCTCTAGTTAAAGGTTTTATACCTAAAAAAGATTCTTGAATGCAAATCACGAGATAGGAGATAAGCAAAAAAAATGCAAATCACGAGAGATAAGCAAAAACATGTGTTGCAGTTATCTCAGGCGGAGTATATCAATCGTGTATTGCAAAGATTCAACATGAACGAAGCTAAGCCGGTTAGCACACCCTTGGCTAGCCATTTTTGCCTATCCAAGGACCAGTCCCCTCAGACGGAAGAAGAGAGAAAAGACATGGCCAAAATTCCTTATGCTTCAGCCATAGGAAGTTTGATGTATGCAATGGTCTGTACGAGATTAGATATTGGCCATGTAGTGGGAGTTGTTAGCAGGTATATGTCAAATCTAGGGAAAGCTCATTGGGAAGCTGTAAAGTGGATTTTGAGGTATCTACGAGGCCCTACTGAAAAGTGTTTGTACTTTGGTAAAGGAGAACTAAAAGTACAAGGTTATGTAGATGCAGACTATGGAGGCGACATTGATCACCGAAGAAGCACCACAGATTATATTTTCACTGTTGGTATTACAGCTGTTTGTTGGATGTCACAGGTACAGAAGATTGTAGCTCTATCCACAACAGAAGCTGAATATGTCGCAGTGACAGAAGCCAGCAAAGTGATATGGCTTCGAAGGTTTGTTAACAGAGTGGATTCAAGCAGGAAAAGAATGTTTTGATTACAGTTGATAGTCAGAGTGCAATACATTTGGCCAAAGAATTCAGCATTCCATTCTAGAAAATTCAGCATTCCATTCTAGAACAAAACACATTGGTCTTCGATATCATTTCATCAGGTCTCTGCTTGAGAATGATGTGCTAAAGTTAGAAAAGATTCAAGGAAACAAGAATCCAGCTGACATGTTAACAAAGGTGGTGACCATTGATAAGCTGAAGTTGTGTTCAGCTTCAGTTGACCTACTAAAGTAGCAAAACAAAAAGCTGCTGTATTGATCAAATTGTGAAGACAGATTGAAATCAGTCTTCAAGTGGGAGATTGTTAGTCAAAATTAGGTATGCATGGTTGGCCAACAACCAAAGAAAATTAAGGCAATGATTGGCCAACAACCAAAGAAAATTAAGGCAATGATTGGCCAACCAAAGAAAATTAAGGCGATGGTTGGCCAACCACCAAATTCTGCATCTATAAATAGAGCACTTCCATAAGTGTTTTATATCAACTCATTGTCAGAGAGAAATCCATTAGCTAGAGTTCACAGAGAAAAGCTTTGGTGAGAGAAAATTGAGAGTAATTTTCTTGGGTGAATTTATGAGTTGTGGGTTATAAGTGTTGTAAACATTTTGTATAATTTTTCTCCTTCCTGTTTAGTAAAAGATCTGCCAGCAGCTCCGGAGTCCGGAGACGTAGGCAGAATTGGCCGAACTACGTTATCAAATTTGTGTGTGTTATTATTCCGCTTTTATTTGGCATTCTCACTAATCTAGTTTTATAGGAAATTTTGCGTAATTTCCCAACACTATTCAACATTTTCAATCGATATCCTCACAATCATTCTTCTAAATTAAGAAGATGCAATACTGTTTAAAACACTTTGGAATCAAAATACTTTTTAGATTAATGCAATATAACGTTTTAAAGAGTTTAACTAGAGATCAAGGAATTAAATATTAAATACAATTCTGTTATTTCAAAGAATACTTGAAAATAATGTAATAAGAAGAATATCATTACTAATTTTTAAACATAAAATTGTATTTATTAAATATTATTGACTTAATTTTTTATTTTAGTTGGTAAACAGAAAACTTAGATACAAATTGAACAACTACAAAATATATCAACCTTAATTTTTAAAAATAGTCTTCAACAGAACGCGGGGAATGGTTTTAATTTTTTAGGCAGCGGCTCATCTTCCTCGTAATCAGACATGGAATCACTTTCCATCACCTGACCACCCAGAAAATATGAACTTGTTGCTTGAATTCTACTCTCATCTTCAGCGCACACCAGGTGAACCCCACAACTCTTCACCTTCATTTTCACATTTACTTCCTTCATTTTCACATTTACTTCTTTCTTACTAGACAATTTTTCTGCTTTGAATTCAAATGAGGCTTCATTGACTCTATAACAGTTCCGTATGAGCCAGATACTTAGATCTCGGTGCTTGTACCAAAGATACACAGAGTCTGATTCAAAGACAGGCCCGTGATGAGATCTAAAATGAGTGATGAGATACTCTTTGTATCCATTTGTGGTTTTGAAACAACATTTACATGAAACCCTGAGATTAAAATCATAATATTCCTCTCTGTTGATAGCAGGAATCTCATACTCCACAACAACGCAAAAAGCAAAATCTAGAAATGTAGAAATAAACCAAGATGGAAGGAGCATATCAGCATTTAGTGAAGACCCTTGGCTTTGAAAGCTGAACCACTCTGGAGTTTCACTTCCAGAACCACTCTTGGGAGTTTCATTCCAGATAAAGTGAGATTTCAAACGAAGAAAAGGCGGTTTATAATATTCTGTCTCATCTGGACATTATTCACTGCTTGATAACAGGAAAAAGAAAGACAAATTAGATATTTTATTATATGATTTACTTGGATTTCTGGGAATGGAAAAAAGACAGATTGAAGAGGCTTCAAAAGACAGATGAAGAGGCTCAAATGCTTACCGAACAAATAGCTAATTCTTTAATTCTCAACTCTGCATCTCCCATGATATTGCCACGTGCATTTTGATCCAAATTGAAGCAGTTCATAAAATCAAATTTGAAACAACACCGTTCAGGCTTTATGGGTAGAATGCAAGAAGTTGATACTGCAGTTTTCAGCAACATACAGTTTTTTACTTGAAGTACTCGTAATTGGCTTGGAAGCTCTGGCAAACCTTTGAGTTTATTGCAGTCGTTTAGATACAACACTTTAAGCGATGATAAACAGACTATGTCACTGGGGATTTCTACAAGTGCAGTGCGGTCTAGACGAAGTTCTCTTAAAGACCACAAACCATGTAAATCAGGCAGTTTGCCAAGCTTTGAACAGTCACTGAGATTAAGACTTGTAAGGGATTTCAATTGACAAATGCTGCTCGATAGACTCTTGAGCCTTTTACACCCTTGCATATCTAACTGATAAAGAGAAGAGAGATGCAAAATTGTTGATGACAAATCTTCTATCGCAGTATAACTTAAATCTAACTTTGTTATATTATTTCCTAAATTCTCTGGGAACTTACTAAGACTTGAACAACCCTTAAGACTAAGTTCCTTAATAGAATTCAAACAATCACTACTTGGAAGACTTCTAAGGTTTTTGCAGTTCCGTATGTCTATCATTTGAAGATTGCAGACAAGTCCATCCTCTTGGAACCACTCTTCTAACCCACATTCCCCTAATAATAAGAACTTTAGTCCTCTTGGAATATCTACAAGCATCTGCAAATTTGAGCACCCTTTAAGATAAAGAATCGTTAGAGAGCCCAACTGAGCAAGTCTTGGAAGACTCCTCAGCTTCTCACAACCTCTCAGATCAAGAGCAACAAGGTTGTGCAGACACTGAATGGATAAGGTAATTTGGCTCAAGGTTTTACAATTTGAAAGAATAATCCTCTCCAGGTTTGGAGCCGAAGAGAGATCCGGGAGTGTTTCCAAGTACTCGCATTCAGAAAGATCAAGATGTTTTAACCTTTGAGGACACTGCACATTAAACCGATTTCTTTTTAAATGTCTATTGTTAAAAGAAAAAAAAAACCCATACACAATATTTTGTATTAATATAGAATAAAATATATCATTTAACTATTAAACACAATATTTTGTATTAATATAGAATAAAATATATCATTTAACTATTAACCTCTAATAGTGTATAGTATACTTAAATCATACCTTATTTCCATTCCATAGTTGCTTGACCTTGCTCCCTTTCATGTTAAGTTCAACAACATTTTTCATGAAAAAATTTGACGGCAAAGATTAGTAAGGGTAGTCTTCCCAATGGAATAAACTTATCTTATTAGGGAGAAACTGAAGCTCTTTCGTCTGACCAATTTCAAATATAGAACCTGTGTTTGTGTCCTTTATGTTAGGGCAGGACCTATAAAACTTTAGCAGTCTTAAATTAGGAACCCGTGAGAAGATTGCGGGATGCAAGTGCACTTTCCCAATTTTTGAGATGTCCAAGAATATGCCTTGATGTCCAAGAGATGTCCAAGAATATGCCTTCAACGGTTTCCTTCATCTAATAAACAAGAGCAAATAGTGAATAGCAGTAAGCATACAATATTATCAAAAGCCTATACACGTCTAAAACCTTAATGACAACCATGACACAGACTCGTATAGATAAAATAACAAACCAAACTCCAATCTTATATTGGCCTCTGATTGCTTTGTGTTAAGAAAAATCATGGAATAAAAGCTGTACAGTGATATATACCTAACAGAAATAAGGAGTACTGCATAATTTGTTTTAAAGAATAAGAAAATGACATCCTTAGCACATGTCCATTTATAAATTTCATGTATGAAAGGGAAGAAATATCATATCTTACCGTCTCAGTTATCAAAGTGTCGTAAATTCTTGTGGCATTCCATAATCGGCTACCCATGCGTCGAGCAATATCCTGACCCATTTCTTGTATCAAATCATGCATCTCTAAGTTGTTTTCAATGACAACTACGAGACACTTATCCATTAGTCGATTTATTCCCATACTTGCAGCAAGACCACATCCATTTAGTATATTTGCTACCCGATCTTTACATTGTCCTTTGAAGAAACAAGAAATATCAAGAAATATATCCTTCTCAGTTGGTTCTAGCGTATCGTAACTTATTTCTAAGACTTTCTGAATCTTAGAATCAGGGGTTTGTTTTAGTTTATCCAATATATTTTCCCATTCCTCTATACGCCTTTTGCATAGATGGGAACCCAAAACTTTAAGAGCTAATGGAACGCCATTAGCATAATTTACTGCTCTTTCTGACAACTCTACAAAATCTTAGCATAATTATACTTGCTCTTTCCGACAACTGCAGCAAAAGTTTTTTTGGGGAGACTGCGATTTGGTTAGGCTTTCATGACTCAATAATGAGAAGAGGCATTAGAGATAATTTTAATCCCCTTAACGCTCATATATTTCAATAGCAAGCATAGCGGTTAAGTATCTTCTTTGTCCCTGCTAGTTACAATGAACTCTATCTACCAGGACAAACAAATCATTGATTTCCAGCTAAAAGCCTCTAATTGATGGCTACGGCCTGATCATTGACATCATCGAAGAACAATGAAAACTTTCTTTTTTCGTCTAAGGCATAATCCAGAAATAAAAAGTTGGTATACAGATAGCAGGGTATCCATGCTCAGAATTTTTCGATTGTTGGGGTAGAAGTTTGGAAAAGAGACATTTTCGGCAATGGAGCAAGATTCCATCTTTCTCTGATTTTTGCCCTATAGCATTCTTGTGGCTCTCAAGCAAGAAATTATTCAAATTAGGGGATCAGATATTCGACAAGAAGAACTTCAAGCAAATGGCTGCTGTCATTCTAATAGCCTGCATTCCCACAAATTCCAATAAAAGCGAAACATCTTTGAGCCAATACTTAACAATGACAAAAAGTGTTGTTAAGTGTGTGGAATCAATCGCAGATAGATGACAAAAGTTTGTTAATGTGTGAATCAATCGCAGATAAGTCAGTGCAAGCACTGAAGTATGCAGGGTATAATTTATTCAAAATTTGGTTGACTACTGCCTCACTCAATTCCGATTCAGTCCTAGCAAATATGACAAACAAAGCATATTAGTTGGTCCAAATAAACTTATACATAAACTTGACAATGTCAAGAACAATTTTAATTTTTTTTAAAACAAAAAGTATTCAAGATCGGAATATTCTATTGTACTTGAATTAAATTTGAAAAACCACTCGTTTTGTAACAAGTAAAGAATTTGGTAATATAAAGCATTCTATCTATCAACTCTATGATAATGTCAATTCAAAAGTTCTTTTAAAAAATAAGAAAGTAGAAAGAAAGCAAACAATAATCATGATTTTGGTTTGACTCTAAACTATCTTGGTTTGACTCTAAAACTTATCGAGTGCAGATTTTTGGATGTAGGTCTATTGATTGGATTATTCTCAAGGTCATAAATAAACAGATAGGGCTATAAAAACAATAATTTTATGTAAGTCAATTCTCTATTATATATCTTATTCAAATATAAAAAAAAAAAAAAAGAAAAAAATCATTCCTAATTTTACCTGAATTGTGGAATCCATCCCACCCAGATAAATTGGCTGCTTGCCTCAAAGCAGAGATCCACGTCTCAATTTTCTCTACGTTCTCCGTTCTCCTTGAATTTTTCTTTAACTTTTAGAAATTCCTCCCCAAATTTTCCAATTTGATTTCTAACGTCAGATGGGTCTACATGATAGAAAACTGGTAAAACCATTCGTTCCATTGAATCCATACAGTCCATTATCTTGACCAGTTCATCCAAACACCAACGAGAGGAGGCATAATTTTTGGAGAAAATGATAACTGACATCTTTGATTCTTCAGTGGCTTTCAAAAGCGACCAAGATATCTCTTCTCCTCTCTCAAGACCAGCATCATCCATAAATGTAGTGATATGCTTTTGCTTTAAAGCAGCATAAAGATGGCTAGTAAAATTTTTGCGGGTATCAATGCCTCTAAAACTAAGGAAATGCCTCTAGAAAACTAAAGGAATACATCATAGTTTGTTTTAGGGGGACCGGTGGAAAGCAGCATAAAGATGGCTAGTAAAATTTTTGCGGGTATCAATGCCTCTAAAACTAAGGAATACATCATAGTTTGTTTTAGGGGGAACGGTGGAAGACAAAATCAAAGACATTATGAGTTTTTGACAGTTATGTTGCTCTGTTTGTTTGCTAGAAGAAAGAAGTAATGGATAAAAAGATGACTCTGAAACTTGAAGAATTGCTGGAAGATTAAGGAAGAAGAAAGTTTAAAGATCTCCATATGTGATCAAAATAACCTAAATATAGTTATTTTATCTAATGTAAAAAAGAATAACGGTGGTAAATATTATTTATTACTTTTTAAAATATTAAAAATAACTTATATTTTGAAACAAAATCAATATTTAAAAACAATTTATATTTTGGTAACAGGGAAGTATAGTTTTGCTTTGAAAATAGCGAATTACATCTAGTTGAATTGTTGCCCGCTAAAATTGAAATAAAATTCAATCCAAAATTTGAATGTTTGATTGTTCAAATTAAAAAGTTATCTTTAGAAAAAGTAACTTATTCTTAGAAAATATTTTCGAAAAATAACGTTTACTTAAAAAATATTTTTCAAATAATTTATTTTTCTTTGTTTGATTACAATATCTACAATTAATTAAAAATAGCAAAACTTAACTTATAACACCATAAAAATATTATAATTATAGAAATTTCATATTTTAAAAATTTATTGTTAAATATGAGAAAAATAAATAAAAATGACAAAATGTGATAGTCACTAGTGACCGGTGATAGTGGTCGACAGTGGCCAATCGCTGATAGTGTTGGTTATTGGTGACAAGTAACCGATGGTAAATGGTTACTTGTAATTAATAAATTAAAAAAATATATATTTATTATAAATAAGCATGTCAATGTCCAGAAAATTTTTCTTTTAGAAGAAATCAAACTGGAAAATTCATGAAGGGGAATTCTATATAGATATGTAATATAGTCAACATATTTCTATATTTTTGTGCATGAAGTGTAATAAAAAAACTCCTCATACAAAGAATAAAATGAAAGTCAAGCTAGCTTTAATAATTATGATAAATATAAATATATATATTCATTTTCAGTACTATGAATGATAACATTGACTTCAATATGAAGCTTATCCTTGGCCATCTAACTAAAGCCTTCTTCATTAAATAGGCATGGAAGAGTATACAGACATGAAACGCCCCCTTCTGTCTCTAGTGGGAAAAGTCTTGCATTTGCATGGTGTTTTCTTCCACAACCCACGATTACCTACCCTCAATTAACACACTTGTTTGATTTTTCTTGTCCAATGCACTTCAAGTTTCTTAATTGTGCCTAATTAATTGTTATTCTTTCTTCAACTTTACTTCCTTTTCCTATTAAAAAAAAAAAACATTTAAGAATTTCAAAAGAATAGTCATATGAGTATCTATAACGTGAATATTTAAAGATTGACACACTGGCCAAAGTCTAATTGGCAAACGCAATTAGTGTTTTTAGTATTCTGGTCTTTGCATGGCATTAGGTTCTGTTTTTGTCACCAACAATCACCATCACATGCTATTGCTTAAGGGAAATGATTGATGGAACGATTCGTTTCGAGGCGCGACAATTGTTTATTGCAAAATATTGAAAAATGGGCCCAACTTGATTGAAGGTTATAAGAAGTGCAAATGCATATGCAAATGGGCAAAAATGTAAAAGTAAAGTTTATGACCGTGCAACTTAAAAATCTCTCAAGTTACAGTACCTTATTTCATTTTAAGTTAGCTTAGGAAGTAGCAAAACAATAAAAGAAAAAGAAAAGGGCGACCAACATGAGAGCTCACTGGTGAACGGCCGTGAAAGAAGAAAAGAGGACTATTAGGTTCTTGAGATAGAAAGAGAGAGAATTATATAAAGAGTTTTCTAAAATATGTTTTCCCTTCTTGAAAATAGAAGTCATTTTACTTACAAATGACTTAATTTTCTTTTGACTAGAATAATATTTTATGTTAGACTGATTTTATGAACAATCTTAATACCGAAAAATCTAAAAAATATTTTTTAAACAGATTATTTTTAGAAAGAAATGGAGCCTAAAAATAATTATTAGCTTAATTATTCTCAGTTGATCAATGATGAAAAAAGAAAAGGTTACGGTTCCGGGCCGGTTCGAACCGACGGTTCCGGTTCCCGGAACCGTAATTTGGCCATGCCTAACTCTACATATCACACGAGTTTTAACACTAGCATGATATATACATTTATCACTTTCCTTGCATTTTTTATTTTCCATCTTCGCAGACGATGAGAATTAAAAAACTGTACTACTAAAATGGATTGTGGTTCTGCCACCGGCCAGCATTAATTGTTGTAGCTGTAAATAGTAAACGATAATTAAAATAAGGGGAAATTATATTTCTATCCATATGTTTTTTACGTAAT